CTGCCACTACCTCTGCTTGTTCAGAACCTGTCACATCCCTCCTGGGGACCCTGAGCAGTAAATGCAGGTAAATCTTTTGCCATGCATGTGTGTGCAGCAGTACTAAGGGGGAAACTACCCACACTTTGGGGCACACTCTCAGTACGGTGTGGCCACATTTCTGCTTCCCTTGCCCACCTCCTTTGCAGATCTGCCCAAATTGCCCACCCTGTGATGCTGGCACCTGGTTCAGTGTCTGCTGGCACCACAGCAGGGTCACTTGGGACAGCCTCCTCGCAGGCAGGTCCTGACCAGCGCCAGTCCCTCTTTGGTGGCTTGGCGGCTGGAAGCCATCCCAGGGCACGGGGATCGAGGAGCAGGGATTAGGACATCCTGCGTGCATTGGGCTGTCACTGCTGTGCCTCAGCGCTGCCCCGTGGGGCCCCATGCACAGGACACAGAGGTGCAGCCCTGGCCATGGCCCTTGCCTGGGGGTGCCTGCAGGATGCTCCTGTGCAGGCAGAGCAGATCCAAGCAGGAGGCCCTGCTGCTGCCAGCTTCCTGGTGGGAAGATTTGATGATGGTTTCTTTTTCTCTCCCAAGGAAAGGGGCCAGGGGACATCCCTGCAGCTGCCCCATCCCTGCCTGGTGCTCCCTGGGGCATTAGCGACCCCCCAGACCTCTTTCATAGATCAAACCTGCCTGCCTGGACCTGCGAGGTGTGCGAACAGATGGAGGAGAAGTGCTCGGCTGCTGCAGCTGTGCAGGCACAGAGCATCCCGTCTGCTGCCTTGGGGACCTGCTGGTCCATGTGCTCCTGTCTGCAGCTGTGAAACTGAGGCAGAGAAGTCAAACAGTGGCATCGTGTGGAGGGTTCTCATCACTCCCTGGGCCGTGCCTGCAGCCCAGCTTCCAGCAGGCTCCGTCCATGCAGCCATTCCTGCCCCTTCAGCTGCCTGTCCCTGTCCCTGTCCCTGTCCCTGTCCCTGTCCCTGTCCGGGGCTGTGCTGGCCTGGGCACGCTTGGCACGGTCCCATCTCTCAGGAGCAGCGAGCAGAGCTGACGGCAGGGCAGGAGGAGGGGGGCTGCACCCCACCAAGTGCCAACAAGGGGACACCTTGTGTCTACAGGCGGCTGTGGTCCCCAGTAGCCGCCTCTCTTAGGGCGAGGGAACAGGGGGGGTCTGATGGCAGCTGCCTCCTGCTCCCATGGGAGCGTGGCCTCAGCCCGGATCCGCACGCAGCTGCGATCCAAGCAGGAGTTCCGGGAGCGCCACCCTGCTGTGCTGGGGCTCCCAGGAGGGAGCTGTACCTCCGGGGGGCTGTGCTGGGAGCACTGGGCTGGACTGGAGCTATGGCCAGACCTGTAGGGAGCTGGCCGGGCGCTGGAGCAGAGCCAGGGTGCTGTGCTCACGCCACCCATGATGGAGATGTTGAGGGCACCTGGCTCCAGTTTCCCCCTGGGAATGAGCTGGGATGGGGCAGCAGAGGCTCGCCCACCTTTGCCCCTGCCAGATCCCACAGAGCAGAAGGCAAACCCAGTCCATTGCCACCTAGATCTTGGTTCCACCGAGCCTCAGTGGAAAATGAAACTTTTCCATGGCTGCAGCCAGCAGGAGGAATGGGGAGCATGAAGTCAGGTAATGCTGCTAAGGTAGGAGGCAGTTCTGTATCTGCCAAGAGGAGAAAGGCTTTGGCAAGCTGGAATCTGGGATACAAGCAGGGCTGTGGCAACAAGGTAAAAGGATGGTCTGGGACAGGAGAATACGAGGGACCAAGGGGATGAGCGAGTGGTATCAGGTGCCAGCTCACGGGTCTGCAATGCACCAGGCACCCCTTTAGCCAAGACAGCCCTGCATGACCCAGGGCTCCCTGTCCTGGTGAGGACCAGCCTCAGGACACAGGGCCTTCTCCAAGTCATCACATCCTCAGTTCATCTCCCAGGGATCTGCATGGGTTAGGGGTGCTCAGGACATGGGCTGGCAGCACAGGAGATGCTGCAGACCAGCCAGAGCAGTGAGGGCCCGTGATGGGCAGAGCAGCTCCTGACCATGCACAGAAGAAAAGCAAAGAACATGAGAGGTTCAGGCTGGGGGCTCCAGATGCAGCTGCTCCTGTTGGCATTTGGGATAATTGTTGTGCTGGGAGAACAGCCCTTCTCTAAGGGGGCAGCCGGGCACAGAGCCCAGCCTCCAAGGGCGTGAGAAGGGCATGAAGCTGGGCAGGAGAAGAGTGAGACTACAAATAGACCTGGGCGACTGGATCCTTCCCAAACCACGTGCCTGAGGACAAGGATAAGATTCTGGGTGCCAGGCTTGTTCCCTGGTTGAGTCCAGGCAAGGGCCAAGGGCACCATGCCCCCAGTAAGCACCCCCATCACCAGGGTCTGACAGTGGGGCCCCCCTGAGCAGCCTCACCCCAGCACCTGTGATGAATGCAGTGACATGAGCGTGGTCTGTGTGGTGTGACCCTGGCTCTGACAAGCTCCAGCGTGGCAGGGCTGAGGCAGGTTGGTAGGAGCTGCCATGGCTGGGACAGCAGAGCTCTGCCCCAGCTGCTCCCAGTACCACCACAGCTCCACAAGGCAGGCACCAGATGTGACCGGAGCCATGGAGGTGCCTTCACAGACCTGTGCTAAAGCACTGGAGGCAACAGAGCCTGAAGGGAAGGTGGCACCCACATTACCCAGTGCATTGCTTACAGACCTGGCCACAGACCTAGGTCTTGTGGCTCCCAGACAAGCACTGAACAGGTAACAGCCCCCATGGTGAATGACACTGCAGTGAACGCAGCCCAGACACTCAGGTGAGGACCAAGCACAGGCTGGACCCATCAGGGACCCAGAAACAGCATGGCCAGGCCAGAGGCACAGCTAGAGGTCAGCCTTGCTGCCCAGCCCCTCAGTTTCCTGACATCCTCAGCACCGTCCTGCAGGGCCAGCACTGTCAGGCCATGGCCAGGATGTTTCCTTGGGCCATGGAGCAGGGGAAGAACTCAGCACAGAGCATCACTGAGCGCAGACAATGATCCTCTCTTGCATTTGAAAGCTCTCACAGGCTCTGCGCTCTGCAGCCAAGCAAAGGCTTCAAATGGGAACTGAGGGCAATTATCCCCCTCCTCCTTGCCCTGTCTGGGGCTTGTGGCTACCATCAGCACCACCTGAAAGAGGCTGCAGCTGCAGAAGACTTGGCTGCATCCCCATGCTGGCTCCACCCTGAGGGCTCTGCAGCACAGAGGGTCTGAGCTCACCAGAGGAGCAAGGAAAGGTGCCTCTGACCCCCAGACCCTGAGGTTGGCCACCCTCAGGACAAGGCAGAGGGACATGGCTGCAGTGTGGTCCCCTCTGGCTGCCCCTGCAGGAAGGAGTCAGTGCAGAGCACCATGGGCAGCCACGGGGGCCAGCTCCGAGGGAGGGCTGTGAACGACTCCAGCACCACCTGAGGAGCACAAGCCCCCAGCACAGCTTCTGGAGGAGCAGCTGGGTGAAGGTACAAGCACTGGAAGAGGGGTGGGTGGCTTTGTGACTCCAGCCCACAGTGGTGAGGAGAAGCGGCGGGGGGGGGGATCCCAGCCCCAGGGGAAGCTCAGAGGGGATGGAGAAGGGCATGGGAACATGGCCTGGAGCAGGGACCCCTTGCAGAGACTCTCAGGCTGTGACTGTGTAACCTCAGCTCACCCCACATCCCCTGGGACAGGATACTGAAAACATCAGGGCTCGCAGCAGCAGATGAGCTGATTCAAGCACAGAGAAGGATAAATTAAATAGTTCACCCTGCTTTATTACTCCCATGGACAAGAGACCCTCCTCATAAAGAGGGTCACATTTAATTAAATCTCAGGCAAAACAAGCCCTGAACACCAGAGGTGGCATCACAGAAGTTGCCCAGAGGACAACCAATGTCCTACTCCCACAGCTAGAGGCCACAACTAGTCCTGACTTTGCTCCACCTCCCTCACCCTGGCACTCTGCTGATCCCTACTCTAGCACAGAGCAGCAGGCACAAGGGTAGAGCAGGAATCCATGCCTTCAAGTCAACATCAACCTCAAAGAGAGGAGCTGAATGGGACAGACAGCACTGGACAGACAAAAAGCACAAAGAAGAAAGGAACTGGTCTGCACGGTGCTCAGGGCAGGGCAGGTCCAGCACCTTCTGCCCAGCTCAGTGCATTGTGCTCCAGCATTGTGTCAGGAGAGTCTGAGCAGGAAACAATCTTGTAGAGAAAGGTCCTGATCTGGGAGCTACAAAGGGCCAGATTTCTGCTACAAGGATCTCCTATGAAAGTACCATAAATATCAAGTACCAAGCCACAGCGGAAGACATCATTCAGCTCAAGCATCATCACTGAGCTGGGTGTGAAGAAGAGGTATCCTGAAATGCACCAGTCTAACAGGACCCATGCTTAGACCACCCCCACCCTCCCAGGAGACCTGGAGGAAGGTGCAGTTCCTACTCAGGATGTTGCCCCAGGAATCCAGCATCCACCACCAGGACAGGCAAAGCTGCCATTTCTCCACTTGGAGATATGCAAAGGAAAGAGCCCATCAAACCCCACTCCATCGTTCAGTTAATTACAAAACCCTATCCTGAAGCCTCCTCAGAAGTCAGGCTTGTGTTAGCATCCTCCTGCTGCAGGACATCCCCTTTCCTTTGAAAGTCATCATGGAAAAATAAAGTCTGGCAGTCATAAGAATCCATTTGCCAGGTCAAGGCAGATCAAAGGACGTGGAAGTGTCTGCCTCAATCTGCAAAGAGCCTGGAACAGCAGCTCAGATGTACGGGCTACCTCGTTTGAGTCTATGGCTCGTGAGCTACAGGAGCCTGCACACATGTAAACAGCGACTATGGCATCACTACTGCAATTGGAAAGAGGGATTGCACCAGAGGAGCACCAGCTCAGGCACTGCTCTGGCCCAGAACAGTGTCACTGTCAGGCACAACTCAGGCAGCAGAGGGGCCAGGTATGCCCCATTGGATTTGCAATCTTGTCTTCTAACAGCAGGACAAGCAGGGGTCAGGCCACGCTTGCCTGGAGGTGCCAGCAGGAGTGTTGAAGATACATGTCCTTTGTAGGACAGCAGCCAAAATCCAGCCCAAGTGAGGCCAAGGGCACAGCAGCTCCCCCTACACGGGCAGTGGCTGTTTCCTCCAGCACATCAGGGACCTGGGGTTGGGGCACGGTCTCTGCAGTCCCCATAGAGACAGGAAAGGAGCAGCTTGAGAGCAGCACAGCTGAAAAGCCCCGCGGCAAAGCAGTGCAGGGATGCTCCCAGGTGAGGCCAAGGAAGTTCCAAAGGGTTCCTGGATTCCTCCTGCAAAGATGCCACCAGCAGTTCCAGACCTCAGGATAAAACACCTAGAGCAACGGATGTGGTGAGTTTGGGCAGAAGTCTCATGAGAGCCCCAGGAAAGCTTGAGGCCAGGGAGGTGGGAGCTGGGTGCTAGATGAAGGTGGAGTCCAGCTGGCTTGTCTCATGGTTATTGCGGGCCCGAGCCTCAAAGAGCTGCTTGATCAGGGCAGATTTCTCCTGCTCCAACTGGGTGATGCGCTCGCTCTTGTCAGTCACCTCCTGCGTGGGACAGAGGAAAACGCTGCTCAGGAGGAGAGCACCACCATCGGCTGTGCTGCAGGTGCTGGGATGGGAACCCCAGCAGTGAGCATGGCCCCGACTTCCCCAGCAGCCCTGCTCACAGACAATGGCTGCAGCATCTGCGCTCTCTGTGGCCTCCATTTATTCCATTCCTGCCCATGGACCGTCACCCAGCAAACAGCTGGACACAGCTGCATGACAGAGGGTCTCCATGTGCAACCCACATGCCCTTCTCTGAGATGGCCAAGGTGGGCCAAGCTGAAGGAGCACTTTCCACTGCCTTGTATTCCTTCTGTCACTCCATCTCATTCCCCCCTCCTCTCCCAGCCCCCCCTCCATGGAATCTCCTTCCCTTTCTCATCCCTCACCTTGGTGAGAAGCCGGTTTTGCTCCTTCAGCATGTTGATGGCTTGCTGGGAGCCTGCTGAGGCTGGGGACACCAAAGGGACCAGCCTGCTCAGAGCTGAGGAGGGGTTTGCTGGCTGCAGAAAAGATGAAGGGAAGGGATGAGACACCGAGTCTCCTTCCCGGGGGCCCACCCCAGCCCTTCTCCAAAGCCAGAATCTGTTTCTGTGGCACACAGGGAACTGAGAGAAGCCCAGCACAGAACTAAGATCCCAGCACAGGATGTCAGGCAGGCAGGAACACATGGGAAGTGTTTCTGCCAGGAGCCCAGTGGGACAGCCAGCTCAGCAGGATTGTTTCCTTATTGACTTAATGTCCGCACCTTCTTTTGGATTTGCTTTAGCCCCCCATATACCTTGAGCATCCTCAGCCCAGCTGGGGCCTGGCTGTGCTGTTCTCTGGGCCATCCCCATCCCTCCCTTGCCCACAGAGCCAAGTCACCTCCCCAGAGCCCAGGAGGCAGCCCCGATGTCAGCCCAGCCACCACAGCAGGGGAGGACAAGGATACTGGGAGGACAACGACAAAAGGGACACGAGCTCAGGACCCATCACACAGGACGGGCCCCAGGCTCACACAGCCAACCACAAGGTGCTGATGTGGTGCTCTCACCTTGCCAGCAGTGGACAGGAGGTCACCCAGGCAGCGGTTTACTTCCTGCAGCTTGGGGACCAGGCGCCCCAAGTGGCTTTGGCTGCCCTCAGGAGGAAAGTCCTGGGAGATGGGGAGGAAGAAGAGGCTGGGGGTTACTATGGAGCTGGCTCCAGGTCCAGCCAAGTCCCAGCCCACTTCTCCAAACCCACAGAGCAGCCCCAAACCCTCCCAAGCAAGTGAGTGCCTCAAGAACAAGTCCCCTACTCACCACACTGGTTTTGTTCTTCCCCAGAAGCCTCTGGCGTTCCTGCATGAACTGGATGTGCTGGTGGTACCACTCCCAGGCACACTCGACCAGCTCCAGACCCTGCAGCAGGAAATCCTTCTCCTGTTCCAGCTCCTTCATGTGCTTCAGCTGCATGACAGAGGATGCAGATGTGGCACCCTGTTCCCACCAAGCCCCAGGAGCTAGTTTCTTCATAAGGCACAGAGGGATGAGGATACAGTCTCAGCTCCTTTCCCCATGAAAGACTATAGAGGAGTGGGCTGATGGCTGCTACCCAGTGCTGCTTCAGAAGAAGAGTTCTCTGGTTTGGAAGAACAACTGAGGCAGGTGAAGAACAATCAGGCCATCTCTACCCTCTTGCTCCCCACTGACGAAGCAGGTTTCTCCACCTCATATTTATCCAGTGACACAAGAGCAGGGCCTACAGCCACTTCCCAACAGTGAACCTCAGCCAGCAGCACAAACACACCTGGCTTTGGGTGAGCAGTAAAGAGCCAAGCTAGATGTGCAGACTGGAAGCTACACTCTACCCCGCAGGTACCTCTGAGCAGAGCACAGCATGCCTTTCTGCCGAGCATCTCTGCTGGTCTTTCAGGTTCAAGCACAAGCATCACCTGGAGAGGGATGCGGGGACTTTCATACACCCAGAGAGCTGCTGCTTGGTGTCTGGGGCTCCTGTCCACAGACAAGCCCCTGGGACATGCAGAGCAGGCGCAGCCTGCAGCCAAGGCTGCTGTAGGACAGGCAGCCCAGCTCCTCCACCAAGAGCTGGGGTCTGTGCCACAGGGGGCGCAGGGACCCTGCTCCACTGCCACTTTGTTCTGCTGCCCCTCAGCACTGTGCTGCCACCGGCAACTGTATAGGTGGTGGGACAAGAAGGGACATCCTGGGAAACAGAGTGCAGGAACCCTTTCATCAGCCATCACCCAGTGAGCCCAGGGCTCCTGCTCCCCTTCCCCTGAGCAATGCTGCCCCACTGGCCCCTGCCCCGATGTCTCCATGCCAAGAGCATGGGGAGCTGTCTGCCTTGCTGCCTCTGCTGCATCCTCTGCCACAACACAGCCTGGCTTCCACTGCCCATAGCACAGACTGGGCTCCAGGAGAACCTCCTCCAGGCACCAGTGGGGCTTCGATCACCCAGAAGCTGCTGGATGCTCAGGAACCTCTCTTGCTGCTTTGGACAGCATCTTGAGAGGGATGATTCAGCTCAGAAGTGGCCCCGAACAGATCATAGAAACATAGAATGGTGAAGAGCTGGACGGGACCTTAAAGCCCATCCAGTTCCAATCCCCTACCAGGGGCAGGGACCCCTTCCACTGGAGCAGCTTGCTCCAAGCCCCTGTGTCCAACCTGCCCTTGAGCACTGCCAGGGATGGGGCAGCCACAGCTTCTCTGGGCACCCTGTGCCAGCGCCTCAGCACCCTCACAGGGAAGAGCTTCTGCCTAAGAGCTCAGCTCAGTCTCCCCTCAGGCAGGTTCAAGCCATTCCCCTTGGCCTGTCCCTACAGGCCCTTGTAAAAGATTCCTACCCTGGAGACATGTGAGACCACACCAAGACCTTCCTCAGGCCACTAGCACTTCCCAACCCCAGTGCCAGCCCTGAAGCCCCTCAAGTGCCCCACACCAGCCTCCCCCCACCTGGATGGACAGACTGACCAAAGGGGACATATCCAGAGGAGGAAGCACAGAGCCTTGGTGCTATGCAGGCTGTTGCTGAGGGGCATGAAGAAGGCGCTGTATGTGGCAAGGACTCTCAACCAGCTTGGGCTGCAAGCAGCCACCCCCAGGCCTGCTCCAGTCCCACCAGGCTTGCTGGCCAGCTTGGAGACTGAAGGAAGAGGCAGCATCCCATAGAGCAATGAAACATCACCAGGGACAGAGGGCATCTCTCTAAGGATGGGAAGCTCTGGGGCAGTGGCAGCTTCTGGGGCAGGAGGAATACAAAGCGCTGCACTTGGCTGCTGCTGCCCAGGGTAAGAGGGGAGGGGACAGTGCTGTATTCTGGGCTGCAGACAAATGAAAGCGCTCAGCCTCATGCAGAACATCTCATCCAGCCACCCCTGTGGCCATGGCGAAATGAGGCCGATCAATGATGGACTGGCTGAGAACAGCAGCTAAGCAGACACCAGCAGTGGTGGTGCAAAGGGTCCTGGGCTACAGTGCAGCCCCACACCTCTGCTGCTGCTGCTTGGGATGAACCAACCCTGGTGCACCTAAGAGTGCTGGATGGATACCGGTATTCCCAACCCCCATTAGGCACTAGACAGATCAGCCTAATCACAGCTGAGAGCCTTGTGTCTTCTGGGGCCCATCATCCTCCAGCATCGGGAAGAAAGGCAGAGGGACTCCTTCCTACTGCTTCCCCAACAGCCTGGGGAAACAGGCAAGCCAGAGCTCATGGCAGTGGTGGGCTCCTGCCTGGAGCTGTACTCACAGGGAAAAGAGGGACCTTCCACTATCCAAAACAGCAACTTCCAGCCATCAAAACCCAGAGAACCAAAGAGTCCCATCCCAGATACACACACACCTACTTAACTCCTTGCCAGGGCCTCTCATTAGAGACCTCCTCAGCCCAAGAGCACCCCAACCCTTTGCATGGCTGCAGGCCCAACAAACCATGAGTGTGCACAAGCCCTTTCTCCTCAGGCCAGGCTCCACAGCACGTTATGTCCCCCAAGGCCAGGCCAGGCTGTAATCAATGCTGCCCAAGCCAGTGGTCAGCCCCACTGGGCTCAGGGTGACAGCAGGGTGCAAGGAGTGGAAGCGCAGAGGTGAGAGCAGCAGCTCTGACACCAGCCAGAGCTCATGCCCCCAGTCACGCACTCATCCTGCAGGCTGGGCCCTGGCTCTCATCTCAGGGAAAATCAGCTTGAGCTTGTGGACAACATGCCCAGGCAGCTCTTCCATCCCGTTTCAGAGCACTGCAGATCCCTTCATCCAGGGATTCTGATCCAAGCCTCTCCACACACGCATGGAGAGGAAGGCAGATCCCTCCATCCTGGGCTGCCCAGCTAAACTCAGTGCTGATTGTTCTGCATTACTGGCAAACAACCTCTCAGGAGCCATGAGAATCTGCATGCTTGAGCTCCAACCTTCAGAGCACAAGCGGTGGGAGACCCAGCCCAGCACCACCACTTCCCAGCACAGAGCATACTGACCTTCACTGAGTACTTGAGGGGCCCAGAGATCCACCTGCTCCTACACCTACATGTTTGCTTTTCCCTTCCCAGGATTTTGCCCACTGATAGGCACCTCTGCAGTCAAATGCTGGCTCCATGGACTGACCTCACTCCAGAGAAAGTAGGGGAACACATGCCTCTGCTCTGTCTGGCATGATTCAGGATGGAAAGCACCTCAGAAGTAACAGCAGGACCTCCATGTACATCAACAGAGCTTTGTATGCAGAGTATCAGGATCTGCCCAACACCCATGCAGGATTGGGCAGTGGGGAGCCACAGCCCAGAGCTGGTGTCAGTGGTGAGGGACCCCGTGACCCCCCTTTCCACAGGGACCAGGACTTCCCCAAGGTCTGTGAGGGTGCTGAGGCGCTGGCACAGGGTGCCCAGAGAAGCTGTGGCTGCCCCATCCCTGGCAGTGCTCAAGGCCAGGTTGGACACAGGGGCTTGGAGCAAGCTGCTCCAGTGGAAGGGGTCCCTGCCTGTGGCAGGGGTTGGAGCTGGATGAGCTTTAAGGTCCCTTCAACCTGAACCAGTCTGGGATTCTATGATATGACCAAGGTCCCCTTCACTGGAGCCCGTGGCAGGACTGTCTCCTTACCATGCTGAAGTCCACACCGTTGGTGATGGTGTGTCTCCGATGTTCTGCACGTCCTCTCTGATGCCTCCGAGCATCCCCAGCCCCTGGATGGCCACTGTCTCCCTGGGACTGCCCAGCAGCTTTAGCATCACCACCTGTAACAAAGGAAAGCATAAGGCCACCAGCTGCTATCTGCAGCATGGTCTTGCAGACATGACAGGGAGCAGCTGAGCAAAGCACCAGACCAGGTGCCTGCTTGCAGGCAGAGCAGGCTTCAGCAGCAACTTATTTGGCAGTGCCAGGCTGGCAACACACCTTGGTCATCTGCAGAAAGCAGACAGCTTCCAGGCAGTGCTCAGTCCCAGCACAGGCAACTAAACCAATAGTGACACAGGCTACCCTTGTCCTGTCTTCATGAGACCCCTGGATCCCATTCAGTGGCACAGGCTCTGCCCAGAGCCTGACTCCTGAAGGCATCTCCTGCTTGGTGATGGGCTTGGCCATGCAGACGTTCTCTCCCCAAACCCTGTGCCTGTGGCCTAACCATGAGTAGATCAGGCTGTAGGTTTTCCAAAATGTTATTCAAATCCCAGCATCCCACCCTGCAAGAGACTGATCTCTTACAAACATGACACTGGTGCAAATCCAGGCATGACCTTTCTGCAGGTTTTCATACTAGCACTTTTCAGGCTAGATCAGCCACCTCCTGCCCATGTTGCCTGTTTGCCCAAGCAGGTATTGTCTGGGCACCTGCAGCAGAGTCAGTACAAGCCCCACATCACGCACCCTGGAGAACTCACCAGGAACAAAGCCCTGCAGCATGGCCAAGGCCAGCTCAGAGCCTGGTTCTGGCCAAGCACCGCCCCAAACTGCAGCACCAGGGCAGCCACAGAGCAGCCAGCACCATCTCGACATGCCTGGGCAGCGAGTGCTCCACCTCCCTTTGTGCCAGCTCCAGGCAGACCCTGTCCTGTATCCAGCCCTTGCTGCTGCAGACACCTCTCCTTGAGAGTCTCTTTCCCAGCCTGGCCATGGCACAAGATCAGCAGGGAGGCAGAGACAGCCAGGGAGCACACCTCCTCCTCAGGCCTGCTGCCCACCTATCTCCCTGACACCCTTACCCATCGCCACATCTTCGCCCCCATGCAGGCTCCCAGGCACCAGCACCACCAGGCACAGGTCCAGTGTGTTCTCTGCTGCATGAGCACAGAAGCTGCCAGGACAGGGCAAGTAGCATTCTCTGGCTATAGCACCCCCAGCCCACAGCTCCACAGGGCTCCTCAGCCAAGCACATGGACACAATGAAAGAGGGGTACAGAGCAGGAAAGCACAGCATTGGGAGCAGGAGCCACTCTCCTTCACTTTGAAGGCAATGAGGTCTAGGAGAGCTGCACCATACTGGGGCTGCCTGTACTGCCAGTGTCAGCAAGAGGAGTTGGACCCCAGCTTGGGGGGCAACAGGCCATGATACACAAGCGCCCTGCTCAGCCTGTCGTGTTGTGTCACTGAGGAAAGAAGCTACTGTGGCATGGGAAAAATCCTCCTCTGGTTCACCATGGCATCCTGCTTCTCCTACCAGCAACAGCATCATCATAGACAGGTCTCCAGCATGTCAATAAACAAAGTCTTCACTGTCACCCATTCATCTGTTTTGTTTTGTTTCATACCCCCGTATCTACCTAGCAAGACCAGTGCAAATACACACATGCTCTCCTAGCAGACCTGTAGCACATCCAGTTTGGGAAGCTGAGGAACAGCCCCAAAACTAGAGCTAGGTTCAACAGGCAGAATCCCAAAGCAAAGCTAGGAACACCTTTGGGAAACATGTTAAGTAGGTTTTCATGGCTGTTAATTGGAAGCAGCAGGTTGAGCTGAGCTGAACCTGCAATAAGAAGGTGCTCCCTGGTCAAACAACTGAGCTCTGTGTACCGGAGCTGACAACGTAGTGGCTAAACCAGGACCCCTGATAATGAACTGAGATAGTTTCATCTTTGGCAAAGAGCAGTTCCAGCTCACCATGGGTGGATGCGATTCTGTCACAAGATACGGCCTCTGCCACTGCAGGGCACAGGCCCAGCATTCTCCAGCCAAAGCAAGTGCCCAGGACTGAGCAGACACCTCATGGTCATTTACACATTACACACCTCTCCTTGGCAATAGACAGTAACTGCTCCCTACAAAACATCCCCTCCTGCCTGCAGGGGCCAAAGACACTCCAGGCAGCTGACAGAGCCAGCCCACCCCAGCAGTGAGGGCCAGTGCTGTGTAGGGAGGAGGCAGCAGCACCCAGGCCACCACAGACATCCTGGGAAGGCACATCCTAATCTGTATCTGAACTTCCTCAGGTCTCAGCTCACAATGGAACAACAACAGTAAAGACCCCAACACCAAGACACTAAGATGCTGCTGTGACAGGCCACCAGTAGCAGGGAAGCCATCACAGTGACTTTCATGCCAAGCAACTTCTCCAGCATCAGCCTCACCATCCTGGCAGATGCTGTTGGCTCCCCAGAGACCATGGCTGGTGGCCAGCAGTGGTTCATGGGCTGCCCCAGCACTGCTGGGCTGATGACAGCCCCAACCTCTGTCATCTTGCTGTGGGTCCATCCAAATCACCTCTGATGCAGGCAGATGTCCCTGGACCAAAAGACAGAGCTGGGGTGGCATCCTGTGAGCACTTCCTTCCCCCAAAATGCAGACTGGGAGACTTCCTTCAGACTGTGTAGTTGATGAGCACTGATCCACCATCTCGCTGCCCTTGGTTTGGTTCTTACAGAAACTACCTCAGGCAGCTGAAGGCTCAGAGCAGCCTCAACCCCAAATGATATAACCTCAGTGGAGACTGGTATTTCGGGATCCACAGGCAGCTCTCAGCACATTTCTCCTCAGCAAGAGCTGTGTCCTGCCACAGCAGCACTCAGCCTTGCAGCCTGGTGAGGAGAATATCTACCCATTCATCCACACCTTGGGAAACCCTCGACAGTAGGAGGGAGCACTGGGCAGCTGTGCAGGATCCGGAGCTAAAAGAAACAGAATCACTGAGTTATGACGTTTGCTAAGCTGCTGAATCAAAGTGAGATTCCAGCCTTTTGCCAGACTAGGGCCCTGTGCTGCAGGAAGCTGGCAGCAAAGGCTGTGGCACAAACCCTATCTGCAGGCTCCAGACATCAGTATAACATAAGCTTATAGTGGGAAGATCCTCAGCAACCATGAAGCTGCTGTAATCACCTGCTCATTCCTTTCCAGGGCAGAGCTTTCCATTTGCTTTTTATTTACCTTGCAGGATTTTTGTTCAGGTTTTTCCAGATTTACTCTGTTGACAACAGGAGAACCAGCCTGCTTAATAATATTGCCCTAGACGAAGCTCCAGTGATTAGTCTGGGGGCAAAATGGAAAGCAGAGAACCGCAGCCAAGTTAAAAGTTTCTTCTCCACCCAACAGAAGAAAGGACTGGGAGGGAGCAGGTGAGAAGCAAAGGCAAATCAGCCTAACTTTCCCAAGGTTGAGGCAGTCATTGCGCTCCAGTGTTGAAATAACAAACACCAGGTCCTCACACAGACCTTCATGTCTGTAGATCTCAAAGCACTTCACAGATCATGGGCCTGTAGGGACAGGCCAAGGGGAATGGCTTGAACCTGCCCAAGGGGAGACTGAGCTGAGCTCTTAGGCAGAAGCTCTTCCCTGTGAGGGTGCTGAGGCGCTGGCACAGGGTGCCCAGAGAAGCTGTGGCTGCCCCATCCCTGGCAGTGTTCAAGGCCAGGTTGGACACAGGGGCTTGGAGCAAGCTGCTCCAGTGGAAGGTGTCCCTGCCTGTGGCAGGGGTTGGAACTTCATGAGCTTAAAGGTTCCTTCCAACCCAAACCAGTCTGGGATTCCATGATTCTATCTAGATAAAGAATTATTACCTACATCAGATAAACCCAGAGCCTGGTTTCCTGATTACATCGCCTACTGACTAGCAACAAACCAAGATGCCAGTGAAATCACCTGCCCCTTCCCAGGGTCAGGGTCCCACTGGGGGTGGCAGACCCAGCACAGGGACCCCATGAGCTCACAGGGACCTCAGGTGGCCTCTGCAGAGCCTGGCCACCAGGACACCACTGGGGGACAGCAAAGCACAATAAGGGGAGACTTTACTGTGGCCTTTCCATACTTTAAAGGGGCCTATAATAAAGATGGGGAGAGACCTTTTAGCAGGGCCTGTTGCGACAGGATGAGGGGTGATGGGTTTAAACTAAAATTGGGAGATTCAGGCTGGATGTGAAGACGAAATTCTTTATAAGGAAAGACTGAATGGTGCAACACTGGCACAGGCTGCCCAGAGAGGTGGTGGATGCCCCATCCCTGGAGACATCCCAGGCCAGGCTGGATGTGGTTCTGAGAAACCTGATGTAGTTGAAGATGTCCCTGCTCACTGCAGGGGTGCTGGACTAGAGGACCTTTGAAAGTCCCTTTCAACCCAAACCATTCTGTGATCTCTCTGATGCTGCTTTCCCATTTAGTTGTCACTTAATTATTTGTTCTCAGAATCAGTGCTGCGGTATTATTGAAACAAAAAAGCTGGATCAGGCTTTCCTATCTTTTTGGTCCCAAACACAGATGAAATGGTGAACCCAGTGTTTGAGGGCACGGCACAGCACCCACTCGAGCTCACGGTGCGCCGGGACTGGGGCTCCTGCTGACGCAGGCGACACTCCGAGATGCCCATCGGCAGCACCAAAAGGTCACCAACAGCCACTACGCCAGGGACAACTGCGAACACGTTATGATAAAGCCCTTAAGTCTTCCTGTCACTGCTATAAACAGACAGGCCCGCGTGAGGAGGGCTGCGAAGGGAAGGCAGCAGGAACCCGAGGCAGGCGGAACGGCACCGGAGCCCAGGTCGGAATCACCGGTAACTTCTGAGGAGTTCGGCACCCGGCCCGCGGGTAAGAGGTGATGCTCAGGCTCCGCAGGAGCCTCAGTGTCACAGCCGCCTCCCCCGGTCCCCACTCACCTCGGCCGCGGTGCTGGCCGGGCTCCCGCTGCCCGTTGCTCTTCCGGCGCCGCTCCTCGGCACAGCGTGGGCTCGGCGGCTTCTCCTCGCTCCGCCGGCCGCCGCCATCCGCCGGGGGGTCAGTCCCGGGCAGGGAAGCGCGCAGCCCCAGGACGAACCTCTCGAAAGTGAGGTACCCGCTGGCCGGTGCCGCCCGCCGCAGCCCCTCCATCACCCCGGCGGGCAGCTCCCGGGCTTCCGCTCCCCGCCAGCGGGACTCGATCTCCCGCAGGTGCACGTAGCCGCGCCGCCGGTCATCCAGGATGTCGAAGAGGGTGCGCAGGCTCTGCAAGAACGCCCGGGGAAGACCCTCGGTGCCGGCGGGGAGCGGCCGGTCTCCGCGCTCCAGGGCCATCGCCACCGCCGCCGCGGCTCCCGAGCGTTACTCGCCTCTCCGGCCCCCGCGCTCCTATTGGTTGGTGGCGTTAGGTCCCGCGCTCTCATTGGCTGGTGGCGGCCGGTCGTGCTGGCCATTGGCTGAGAGGGAGGACGAAGGTTTTGAGTTCCGCGCGGTGCCCGCTCCACGCTCCATCGGGGAGGATCTAAGCTGGGGAGGCCCCGCTCCCCCATCCCGGTGCCGGCTCCGGGACCCGCCAGGACCAACCCCTGCCTGGCCCTCAGCCCCGATCAAGCCCCCTTTCCCCGCCCGGCAGAACCGCACCGCTGCTCCCGTTGACCGGCAGAACTGCGGGTACCACTGCCCGCGCCCGACTGCAGCGAGTGCTTCTGCTGCCGGTGGCAATAAATAGAATCACAGAATCAACGAGGTTGGAAAAACCTTTGAGATCATCCAGTCCAATCATTCCCCAGCACTGCCAAGGCCACCACTAACCCATGGCACTGAGGCCTCATTTCCACGCTGTGTGAACACTTGCAGGGACGGTGCCTGCAGCCCTGCCCTGGGCAGCCTGTTCCAATGCCTGAGCACCCTCTGGGGCAGGAATTGTTCGTCAGCTCCATCTAAACCTGCCCTGGTGCAGCTTGAGGCCATTTCCTCTTGTCCCATCCCTTGTTCCTTGCTAGTAGAGACCACACCCCTCCTGGCTCCATCCTCCTTTCACATAGTTGTAGGGAGTGATAAGGTCCCTCCTGAGCTTTCTGGGGTTTTGCACCTCAAAGACACTGTAACCTTGCCGAAAGGAAAGCAGTTCTCTTCTTAAGCAGAGATACCTGAATACCTTACATAGAATCACAGAATCTCAGACTGATCTGGGTTGAAGGCACCTTAAACTCCTCCAGCTCCAACCCCTGCCACGGGCAGGGACCCCTTCCACTGGAGCAGCTTGCTCCAAGCCCCTGTGTCCAACCTGGCCTTGAACACTGCCAGGGATGGAGCAGCCACAGCTTCTCTGGGCACCCTGTGCCAGCGCCTCAGCACCCTCACAGGGAAGAGCTTCTGCCTAAGAGCTCAGCTCAGTCTCCCCTTGCCTGCTTGTCTTCAAACCATTTATTTCCATAAATTTCAAGGACCTGTCCTACCTGTTTTGAGATCTCTGCTTGGCATAGTCGTGTCTGACTGAACAGGTTCACACCTGATCAGGATACAGGGGGAAGGAACCAGTGCATCAGCCCTCCCCTTTCTGCTCCAGAAACAAGGCAGTGAATGTGATGCTGCTCAGCTCTGGTAGCATCAGCACACGGGCTGTTCTGCTCAGCAAAAGATAAATCTGCAGGAAAGCGAGTTTTTATTTAGGTTCCTCACACATCTGGACTTGCTGGAACAGCCAGGAATTCAATATGACCTTAATGTCTCTTGTTCAAGGGACAGGCCAAGGAGAATGGCTTGAACCTGCCCGAGGGGAGACTGAGCTGAGCTCTTAGGCAGAAGCTCTTCCCTGTGAGGGTGCTGAGGCACTGGCACAGGGTGCCCAGAGAAGCTGTGGCTGCCCCATCCCTGGCAGTGCTCAAGTCCAGGTTGGACACAGGGGCTTGGAGCAAGCTGCTCCAGTGGAAGGGGTCCCTGCCCGTGGCAGGGTTGGAAGTGAATGAGATTTAAGGTGCCTTCCCACTCAAACTAGTTTGGGGTTCTGTGTTGTGAGCCTCTGCTGCTGCTTTCTTCTGGGGGAGAGCAAGGTCTGATGGGGAACCAGCTGCATGTCTGTGTGCTCTGTGCATGCTTGCTGCTGCCTGGCAGCTGGACCAGCCAGCACAGGACAGCACAGCCCTCCTCTGTGCATTGTACTGACAGTCTCAACAGTGCTGCATCCAAAATGAGCTGGTCCTCGGGCAGTGCAGGTTACCAGACCATACCCAGGAACAGTTAGTCAGGGCTTGATTAAGACCAGACCAGGAGCTGTGCACACAGCAGTCCAGATGCCAAGTTCTGGTGCTCCCCACAACTGTCCAATTCATTCAGCACAATTGCTGTTAACCTCTTCTTTCAGCCCCAGAGCCAAGGAGTGCCGGGAATCATTTCCAGTAGGGTACCAAAATATTAACCCAGAAACACATCTGTACCCAGGAAACCTTTGGGCAGAGGCTGAAAGTGGCAAGGGCCATGTGATAGGGGAGACACAGCAGATCTTCCCTTGGAGGGTGCCTATCTTATTTGATCTTCCCAGCTCTGCACTGACATCTCATTTTCCACCTTGCTGCTTGCGGGGCCTCTGAGGATCTGCTCTGTTTGCTCTGGAGGGGGCCAGCTGCTTCTCACAAAGTTGCTTTTCTTTCCTCCTGACTGTTTTTCCCTGCAAAGGGCCTCGAGCAGGAAGTGTGGTGGCTGCCCAGTGGCTTCCAGCCTGTCACGAGGGCTGGGAGAAGCTGAAATCAGCTGTCCAGAGGGTAGGGGTTCTGTTTGCTCACTGCAACATGCCTGATCCGCAAAGCAAGGACTTGTGTTGGTAGGAAATGTCAGTCACTCCTGTGCAGTGTCACCTTCCTGCCCTTCTGCTGATGGAGTCTCACACAATGTGTTTAAGTGTAGGGAATCATCTGGGGTTTAAATCAAAGTGTGACAGATGCTGCAAGGCCTCCAGTTAGAATCTATCAGCAACTGCTCTGTCCTATTAAGTCTTGCTTTGCTGCTACTGAAGGCATCTTGCAGGAGTGCCTCAAGGCAGTGTTTAGGAACAGTCCTGCCACAGCTGGAAGACTGATGTAGGGCCCTAAACACAGGCAGCTCTGCCTCTCTCCTGGTGGAATTTCTTACACCTGACAGAGCACGGTTTGCTGTCTATCTGCTTTCAGGCTGCTGGAGCTTTTTTAAGGATGAATGTCTTTCCTGTTCCACCTGCATGTTTCAGTTTTGTACCTCCTTCATGTTCCCTCAGGTTGTCCTGCCTCGTGTATTTGATCCCACCTGCTGCTATTTGCAGTGCTTTACAGAAGAAAATTTCTACCCACATGGATGCAGTGGGTTCTGGAACCAGCTCAGGGGGCTGTGCAGCAGGACAAACCTGTACTGGGGGTGACTGAACAGTTACAGTAGGGACAGGCCAAGGGGAATGGCTTGAACCTGCCCGAGGGGAGACTGAGCTGAGCTCTTAGGCAGAAGCTCTTCCCTGTGAGGGTGCTGAGGCGCTGGCACAGGGTGCCCAGAGAAGCTGTGGCTGCCCCATCCCTGGCAGTGCTCAAGGCCAGGTTGGACACAGGGGCTTGGAGCAAGCTGCTCCAGTGGAAGGTGTCCCTGCCCGTGGCAGGGGTTGGAGCTGGAGGAGCTTTGAGGTCCCTTTCAACCCAAACAGTCTGGAATTTTATGACTTCAACTTTCTGCACCCAGAGCAGCGCTGCTTCAGCGCTCGCAGCATCTTTTTGGCCTCCTCTGGCCTCGTTCCAGCAGCTCCACGTTCCCAGAGCTGGACACAGGGATGCAGGGAAGGCCCCCCCGGCCGGAGCAGGCCACAAGGCAGCAGAAGGCAGAGCACGCCGGGGTCCTCAAGGGGGCCCGGAGAGGAGGGAGCTGCTCGGCGGGGCGGGGCGGGGCCCTGGCGGGGCGGTCCCGCCGCTCTCCCTGTAGCCGCTTGTACTCGCTCGATCCGGCGGGTAGGGGCCGGTTGCATGGGGCCGCCCGAGGAGGTGCAGGAGCGGCTGGCGCGGTGCGGGCAGAGCCACCTGCTGCGGTTCTGGGCCGAACTGGGCCCGGAGCAGCGCGGGGCACTGCTGGCCGCTTTGCCGCCTGGGCTGGGAGAGCACTGCCGCATGGCGGCGGCGGCCGGGGCCCGCCAGCGGGGGCCAGCGGAGTGCCTGGACGGCCGGATGGAGCCGCTCCCCGCCCGGCTGCTGGGCAGCGCCCGTCGCAGCGGCCCCGCCGTGCTGGAGCGTTGGGAAGCGGAAGGTGAGCGGTGAGCGGGGCTGTGGTCCCGGAGAGGGGCCTAAGCTTGGCCTTGGGCCCGGGCCCTTGGAGGGTCCTCCCGGTCCAAGCCCGTCAGCCGGGGCGGAGACCACAGGGCGTCTGTGCCAGCGCCGCTCCGAAGGGTACCCCAGGGCGGCATGTCCGCCATGCGGTGCCAGAAATACCGAGTTTTGCCCTAAAATCCTAGCAGAGCGCGGCCGAACGGGCCGAATCCGGCCCTGGTGCGGGGCTGGGGGCTCCGTGCGGGCGCAGACCGGGGACAGTGGAGCGGCGGTGGGGGGAGATCTGGGCTTATGGCAGTGTCACCTGGCCCCAGGCACGGGCAGCCGCATCCCGGTGCACGGCAGGGGCTGAGGGGGCACTCTAGGGCTGTGACATTGAATTTCCGCTGTTAGCTGTTAAACATAGAGGCTGAGGCTGGAGAGCACGGGATTGGCAGGACCGGGGATAACGGCGTGCCCCGCGGGTGGATGTAATCATAGAATAAATACTGGAATGGTTTGGGTTGGAAGGGACCTCAGAGCTCCTCCAGTTCCAACCCCTGCCACAGGCAGGGACCCCTTCCACTGGAGCAGCTTGCTCCAAGCCCCTGTGTCCAACCTGGCCTTGAACACTGCCAGGGATGGGGCAGCCACAGCTTCTCTGGGCACCCTGTGCCAGCGCCTCAGCACCCTCACAGGGAAGAGCTTCTGCCTAAGAGCTCAGCTCAGTCTCCCCTCTGGCAGGTTCAAGCCATTCCCCTTGGCCTGTCCCTACAGGCCCTTGTCCCAAGCCCCTCTCCAGCTTTCCTGCAGCCCCTTTAGGCACTGGAGCTGCTCTAAGGTCTCCCCTTCAGGAGCCTTCTCTTCTCCAGGCTGCCCCAGCCCAGCTCTCTCAGCCTGGCTCCAGAGCAGAGCTGCTCCAGCCCTCGCAGCATCTCCATGGCCTCCTTTGGACACCCCCAACAGCTCCACTTTCCTTTTGTGCTGGGGGCCCCAGATTTAAGAGGTAAAGTCCCTGCAAAGGGGACTGTGTTGCTGCTGGAATAGGGAGCTACACACAATCTTTCAGACCACTGATGGATGCAGAGGCAGGTCTCATGTAAGTGTGGAGCCCTGTCCAGACTGTGCCATGTGTGGTGCAGAAGGAGATGGAATGTGGGAACAGAGAAGATGGGTGGTGTGGAATAAGCCTGGAAAGCCCAGCATCCATTTTTTTTGAGCTTGGTATATGTTGGTGTCTTTCCCTGGTCACCCCATAGGCATATGAAAGATGGCCTTGATGCAGGAGGTGGTGCCTTGGGGTGAGCTGTGCTCCCCTCCACAGGAAGGGGACCACATGTTGTACATGGGTATCCTGTGTGTGCTCTATTTGTTTACAAAGGTTCGGATGTGTCTTCCCTCTTTCCTTGGGAAATAAAACAGTACTGTTAAAAAGTAATCATCGTTAAAAAAGGAAGCCTGAAGAAAACAGCTATGGTCAGAGAGACAGTTGCTGAATTGTCGCAAGCATCTGCACAGCCTTAACCTAAAAATTCTAGTGAAGATGTGGGGTTATGTGGGCAGGGGAGTAAACATTTCCAAGCAAAAGCAGAAACAGAAGTGACAGGGTCACAGGGAGCTTCTCTGCCATGTCAGACTCCACTGATGGGGCTGAGCAGTGATGGGCAGAGTGAGAGGAAACCTGAGGGCCACACTGGTCCAACCAGGGATCCAGCAGCCATGCTTACATCTGCAGCCCAGCCGAGGAGGGTGTGAGCGGCCAGCCAGTACCACAGCAGCCTCCCAGATGTAACCAGTGGGTTTTGGCAGGGAACCTGCTGGGATGGTGCTTGTAGCCTCTTGCTTGAGGGTACTGCGGTGAGGAGGAAGAGGACCCCTGAATCCCAGAGGCACAGGAGTCTAGGTCAGGGCTGCAGTTAAGAGTTTTAACTAACTGGTTTCTTGATCTTCTAGCCTGCTGGGCCAATGAGCAGCCGGCAGATCTGCCCTGTGCCTGTCTGTAGCAAGGAAAGGAAAGCTCTCCCCGGAGCCTCTTCTTCTCCAGGCTGCCCCAGCCCAGCTCTCTCAGCCTGGCTCCAGAGCAGAGCTGCTCCAGCCCTCACAGCATCTCCATGGCCTCCTCTGGACTTGCTGCAACAGCCACACATTCCTTTTATGTTGGGGGCCCCAGAGCTGGATGCAGAACTGCAGAACTGCAGCACTGCAATGCTTGCAAGACTCTGGAAGGTCTAGTGTGTTTGGGGCATTTGGCCATGTGCAGAAGTCAGCTTGTCCTGGCTCTGAGGTCTGGTGGCCCTGAGCCACACCAGCCCTGCAGGCAGTGTGTCTTAATCTCTACCAGCATGGAACATGCTGTCCTTCTGTTTCCTTTTGGTGTGTTTTTATGATCCAGTTTAATGCTGGTAATGGGATTCAGACCTTGGTTTTATTTTCCAGAGGGCACTTGGGAGTGAGACTTTGTGCCATGTGTCCCTGTGAACATGGCCCCATCCCAGAGTGTTCATGTGCCCTGGCATAGCATTTCGTAGTGGAGCTGGCATCAGTGGCACAGGCTTTGTGGGGTTGGGGGTCCCTGTGGGTATGCAGGCCCCTAAAGGCTCTTTTTTCACAGTGAGCTGTCTGTGGCGTGGAGCCGGATGGGAGCAGGGTGAGCAGCCCTGACCCACTGCTTGACACAGCCCCCGGTGTGAGGTCAGGGTAACCCCTGAACTGAGCTTATCCGAGCTCTGTCTATGGGTGTCTGCATTCCCAGCAGCTCTCACCTGCAGTGTGTCCTCTGCAAAGACTAAACAGCTGAAGGGATGTCTCCTGCTTTCCCATTCCCTCTTTTTTGTGATAAAAAGTGGTGGTTAAAAGGACCAGGCTACCCAAAATTTAGTCACAGAATCATATAATCAGCTGGATTGGAGAATACCTTTAAGCTCATCCAGTCCAACCATTCCCAGCACTGCCAAGGCCACCGCTTTATGTGGAGGCATCATATTGGCCAACCTCCAGTCCTCTGGGACCTACCCACTACACTGACCTAGGACTGTGGATAGAGGATGGAGAGTGGCTTAGCGAGTTCCTCTGCCAGCTCCTTCAGCACTCTTGGATGGAACCCACCTGGCCCCATAGACTTGTGTATACCTAAGTGGAGGAGGAGGTATCTAGCCATTTCTTCCTGGATTATGGGGACTTCAGTTAGCTCCCCATTTCTGCCATCCAGCTCAGGGAACTGAGTACCCTGGGGATAGTGTGACTCTTAAAGACTGAGGCAAAGGCAGCATTAAGTACCTCAGCCTTTCCGTTGTCCTCAGTCCCTAGGTTTCTCCTAGTATCCAGCATAGGATGGAGGTTCTCCTTGGCCCTCCTTTTATTCTAATACATTTGTAAAAGTATTTTTTGATTATCTTTTATGGCAGTGGCCAGTTTTAGTTCCGTCTGTGCCTTTGCCTTTCTACCTTTTTCTCTGCAGAACCTAACAACATCCTGTACTTTCCATGGGGTAACTGTCCCTTCTACAGGTGATAAACTCTTTCTTTTCTTGAGTTCCAGCACTGTCTCTCTGTTCTGCCAGGCTGGTCTCTTCCCCACCAGTTTTATTTTTGGCACATAGGGACTGCCTGATCCTGCGCTTTAAGGATTTAATTCTTGAAGAGTGTCCAGCCTTCTTGGACCCCTTTATCCTTCAGTAATGTTTTCCAAGGAATTCCACCAACCAGCATCCTAAACAGGCCAAAGGCAGCTCTCTGGAAGTCTGAGGTGCAGGTTTTGCTGACCTTCTTCCTGATTTCTCCATGGATTGAAAATTCAATCATTTCTTGATTGCTTTGCCCAAGACAGCCTCCAACCATCACATCACCCACCAGTCCTCTATTTGCCAACAGCAGATCTAGCCAGGTGTCTCCCCTAGTTGGCTTACTCAGCAGCTGGGTTAGGGAGTTACCTTCCACACCCTCCATGAACCTCCAGGAATGTTTCTTCTCTCCTGTGTGGTAATTCCAGCAGACATCTGGTAGGTTCAAGTCCCCTGTGAGAATAAGGGCAAGTAATCATGAAACTTGTCCCTATTGTTTGGAGAACATTTCATCTGTAGCTTCATCCTGGCTAGGTGGTCTATAGCTATTATAGACATATATAGGTCTATAACATTCTACCAGGATATCAGCTTAGGTGGCCTTCCCCCGATCTTCACCCCCAAACACACAGCCTTCTCACTCACAGCACTGAATTGAAGGCACTCCCTGACATACAGTGCAACCCCACCACCTCTTTTTCTTTGCCTCTCCCTTCTGAAGGGCCTGTAGCCATCCACTGCAGCACTCCGATCATGTGAATCATGCCACCACGTTTCTGTGGTGATGATCTTGGGCACACCAGAGATATTTTTTGATCGTTAGAAAAAATAGATGTCATTGTTCTTGTCTCTGAGACAATAAAACTCAGCGTGGTCAGATTTGTTCTCATACCTTAAACACATTTTCCAGGCAGCCTCAGGGATGATGATGTAAATCAAGCCCAGACCTTTTATGTTCTGTAAATGTTTTATTAATGGAATCTAAGCCTTAGGCAAGGGCTGCAGTGGGGCTCTCACTCCATCAGAGGCTTGAGGAGCTGTCCTGCTTATCTGAATTAATGTTTTGGGGTTTTTTGCTTTATTATTCTTTTGCTGACTGCTCTTACAACCAGGCTGATGCTTGTTCAGTGGGAGAATTCGGTCTGTTCTTCCTGCAACATCTATTTTTGTTTTTTCCTTTCTATGCAGAGTAAGACTTACTGCAGCATTAGAGGGTATCTCAACAGCCAAAACATCTTCCCTTTCTTGTTTAGTTGAGCTGTTGGTGTTTCATGCACTGCAGAAAATAAGATGGATTGGTTTTGAAGAGGGATAAATATTTCCACTTACTGCAGGAGTGATGTGCAGCAAGATGTGTCAGTTGCTATGAACTTTAGATGTGAATATGAGTGGTTTTACAGTCGGGAAGTCAGAGCAGACCTACTTACTCAGGTTTGGGGAGATAACTCATCTTTATGGTGGCCTAAAATCAGGAAAAACTTGCCAGTAGTTATAGGGTTGCACCATAAGTACTGGGGATATCATAAATTACGGGAAGGAGAGTCCCTTTGCTGGGGCTGGCATCTCCCAGGAATATGGCCCTGTCAATTGGTTGGATTTTGGGAAGAGAAAAAGAGAATGACACAGTTCATGCTATCAGTGGTATTGCTTTGGACTTGGGTTCATTCTGCTTAGGTTGAGATTTTGATCCCTGCAGTAAGAAGCTCCTCTGGGAGAGGCGAGTGTGAGATGCCAAATCACCCTTGGGCAGATTCCATCCTCTCATTGCTTCTGAGACTTCTGAGAACGGACATTGTGAGCTTCCTAACTGGAATGTGGTTGGGAATCACTGGAGAGTGACTCACTCAGTGTTGTCCTTGGCTGTGAGCATGACAGCAAGTACACTCTTGCCAGTGCTCATAGCTAAGGGCTTTCCTTTGCTCAGACACTGCTATTTATCTTGCTTTATGAGAGGCTTATCGTCACTGTGAAGAGGCCAAGATTAAGCTTCCTCAGGGATAGGTTTGTCAACAGAATGGCACTGCCTTGTGGAGTGGTGAACCAGCTCCCCATGCTGTTTGAGCTCAGCAGGACCACGGCAGTTATTACTCCTTTTCCTAGGAAGGGAATGGGAAGGATCCGTGTAACCACATCTTTGCTTATGGTAATGCTGCCTCAGCTATAGCTGCTACCATCTTCTCCCTGCCTATTCCCAGGATGGGGTAGCTACCACAACAGAGTGACCTGAGAGTTTGGCTGTGGTTCCTAACACAGTGACTTTCCTCTCCTCTCCCATTGGTAATTTTGTTATCACTGCTGACCCCCACTGGCCTGTAGTTCTTCCCTGCTCCATCCCACTGCTGTTGCTTCAAGGCACAGGCACAAGCTGAGGTGATGTCCTGGCAGGGATGTGAACTCAAGGGGCCAGCTGGGAGCTGAGCATCCCTGGCTGGTCTGGTGCTGAGCTGGCTGCTGCTTTGCTGAATCTGTGTCTGCATGGGGAGGAGAAAGGAGGGGAAGGAGAATGGGCTGGTCAGAAGGAAGGTTTTACCCAAGTCTGTGTTCCCCAGGGCTGCCCAGTGCTGGGCTTGTGTCCTGTGCGAGTTGGCTGCCTCTGTGCCAGGTTGTACTCATGGCTGTCAGTCATTACTGACTGCTGGCTTGAGAGAAGGCAGGGAACAAAAACTGTGGATGAGCTGTGGGTTTATTATGTGCTCTGGTTCTTCCCCAAGTTCTGGACTTTCCTGGTTTGTTGGGAGAAGTGATACTGTCTTTTCATTAGATCATGAGAGTTGTGGCTTCTGCAGGCTTGGCTGTGTTACTGGTCCTGACCGCAGTTGTACACGAGCTGGAGCACAAGTACAGAGATTTGACCAAGGCAGCTTCCAGAAATGCCTGTGCTTTACTGAAGATGAGACTTTGCTTCTTTGGGATGTAGAAATGTTGGTGATCAGCGACCTCTGGAGGTCACTGTTCCAGCCCCTATTTGGAGCAGGACCATACCCAGCCCTAAGTCAGGTCAGCTATGGCTTTATCAAGCATCACCTTCCTAGTAAAGAGTTTTTATCGCAGTTTCCAGTTTGAACCTCCTGAGCTGTAACTCGTGGCTGTTTCCAGTTGTTACACAATTTGCTGCTTTAGGTGAGGAAATTGCTGCATCAGAGAGGTGAAATGAATGTTTTCATTGCGTGCAGTATCCTGTTTCTCTCTGAACCACCAGCAGTGGGCATTGGACTGGCAGCTTCTAGCTGCTGCCTCATCTCTGCACAAAGGCTCAGAAGACTGCAGGGTGTTGACTGCTTTTGTGATTCTTATGTTCCTTTGGGCTTCTTTCTCCTGTTCAGGCTTGCATCAGATCTCGCAGAACAAGGTGGCAGTGCTGCTCCTGGCTGGAGGACAAGGAACTCGCCTGGGAGTGAGCTATCCTAAGGGCATGTACAACGTGGGATTGCCCAGTGGCAAGACCTTGTATCAGATCCAAGCAGAAAGAATCCACAAAGTGGAACAGCTTGCTGGCCAGAGACACCACTGCAAGTGTGCCATACCCTGGTAGGTGACCTGGAACCAGAGACCTACTCTGCAGACATGTGTTGCAGTCCTGCCTGTGTGGTTTTCTAGAAGCATTTTGCTGGGGGCTGTAGAGAGCCTTTAGTTGGCAAGATTTGTCATGCCAGGAGCTGGGGGAGGGTGCACAAGGGTGAGAAGTGGCAGGTCTGTGTCTGCACATCTGAGGGTCTGAGCACTGTCCGTGGACCCCTGACCACTACCCTCACTGCTGTACCATGTTGTCTTTTTAAGCACAGTCCCTGACAACACTCTGCAGAGCAATTTTCAGGGCCTGTTCTGGATGCCTCCCAACAGTTGTCATCCACTTGTGCTGTGCCTTCTCAAGTTACTGCATGGAGGGAGAGGTTACCTGGAGTTCACCTTCTAAGACCTTCTTGCCCGTACTTTCTGCAACAGCAAAAAAGGCTTCCCCTCAGAGTAGTAAATACTTGTCATGCTCCGTTTCCAGGCCACCTCCTGTTGTTGTTGTTTACAGCTGGCTGTCATCTGTCTCTTCTGGCTGCTTTCAAAAACCTTCAAAAGTCTTCAAAAGACACCAGCTCTGTGTATGGTGCAAAATATGAATTCCCTATAGGATGTGGTGGGTGAGAGAGAGGAAGGTGCTGCAGCAGGCTTCCGGGACTGTTCTCTGCAGAGTGGTCTTTGTTAGGTTCTGGAGAGATACCCTTATGATCTGAGCTGCAAATGCACCATCCCTGGGGCTGGTGGAACCCAGGATGGATTATCTGCAAGATGCAACACCTGCTGATGTTTACAGTTCCTCTCTCTGGGCTGAGGAGGCAGTTGGCTACAACAGCACACCAGAGGCTAGGCTATCATGTGCTGCAAAGATGTACATCGGGGTGTGTATGAGGTCCAGGCTCTCTTCTGTGCAAGGGACTGATTCCCCTGGCATGCTGGCAGAGAACGTTATATACCTCTGGCAATAGTTGAGTGCTTGACAGGTAGATGATGAAGATGGCTCTTAGATACTGTTGAAAAGGGAAGGTAGTGGAATGAAAAACAGCAGCAACATGCAGTTGGAAGGAAAGGAGGAAATAAAGCTAAGAGAAAAACAGTTCCTGCAGCCAGCATTTGAAAATGCTGCTGTTGGCCTTGGCACAGAAGAGGCACTGGCAGGCTGAGCTGCTAAGGACTTGCAGCTCATTCTGAGCACCTCATGCTGTTCAGTGCTTCTTCATGCACTTAACATCATCTGTAAGCTGGGGTGAATAAGGTTGTTGTACTGTCCTTTGCCTTGTTTTCCAGTTCATCCAGATGTCATTCACATGTAGGGAACATTCTGTCCTGGCTGGAGCTAAGCCTATGGGTAGAATCATGCACAAGACCCTGTGCAGTGTCCCTGTGGGATGAGTTCTGGAGGAGAGCTCTGCTGCTCAGTTGTGAATTGCAGGACACTGTAGTGTCTCTCATTTAACACTTTTGGGTTTCCTCCTTTTTCTGTTCCATTTGTAGTTTTGTCTTTTGCTTATGCTCTTGCTCATTACTCAGCACCCATTCCTACCCAGGTACATCATGACAAGTGAGTTCACGCTGGGGCCGACAGAGGAATTCTTTGTAGAACACAACTACTTCAATCTGGATAGATCCAACGTGGTCATGTTTGAACAGAGAATGTTGCCCGCTGTCACCTTTGATGGGAAGGCCATCTTGGAGGAGAAAGGGAAAATTGCCATGGCTCCAGGTACCCCACTGTTTCCTCTTACATGGTACAGTAATGTAATATGTGTTGATAATTGCTACCAGCCTTGGCACATGGAGCAATCTTTGGAGGTCATAGAATCACAGAATGGTTTGGATTGGAAGGGACCTTAAAGCTTGTCCAGTTCCAATTCGTGCCATGGGCAGGGACACCTTCCACTAGAGCAGCTTGCTCAAATCTCTCTCCAACAGGGTCAGTGTTAGTGCTTCTGATTAGCGTGGGAGGGTTCAGTTCAGTGTTTCAGGCTGGTGATCAAAAGTGCAGCAATCTCTGCTCTGTTCTTCCCAGAGATTCACCCACAGCAGGTTGTTTTGAAAGTCTGGCAGCGTTGGCAGGGTGAGGAGTGGTGCAGCTACAGGTCAAGAGCAAGTGAAGCCAGTCTGGCTGTGGCCATGTTGCAGTGATGCAGTTTTGTGGCTGCAAAGTGGTTTTCTAGAGCTGACAGGAGTGTCAAAGGAACAACTTTGAAAGGGTGATCTCTGAGGAGCAAATGTGCAGCTATCTTGTGCAGCTGCAGTTCAAGCCCTTTAAAAAGGCATTGGGAAGTCATGGGGGAAAGATAAAAAGAGAGTAAGATTTATTCTGGTCTTTTTCTCCAAGCTGAGTTTTTAATATGATTAAAAATATAGTATGATATGCACTGGAAGATAATGAATGTAACAGGCTTTTCCCACCCTCCATATAATGTTTTGCCTTTTAGTGTTTCCTCTCTGAGGATCTTATAAGGCATCATAAAGCATCATAAGGCTTCTTTGTGAAGCTGGTCCCCATGGTCCCACTGCCAGTGAGCGAGCTGAGGTGTGCAGGGGAGATTTGCCTGAACTGTGTGGCAAAGCTGGTGATAAAACTTGGTAGCACTGACTCTTGGCCAGAGAGCATTCCCTGCTCTGCTGTTAAATAGCTCTTTTAGCTCCAAAACCCTTACAAAGGCACTAATTAACCAGGTCATTCTCTTTTCTCTTGTGTTATAGATGGCAATGGTGGCTTATACCGTGCTTTGGTGGATAATAAGATTTTGGATGACATGAAGCAGCGTGGAATCCAGTACGTCCATGTATACTGTGTGGACAATATCCTCGTGAAAATGGCAGATCCAGTCTTCATAGGATTCTGTGTTTCCAAAGGGGCAGATTGCGGTGCAAAGGTGAAGCGGTGCTAACACCGGGACATTGTCCCATGGGGAATTAAGGTCTGACTATGCCTGGAAGCTGCTGGCTGGGTGTGCTTAGGTGAACGGAGGTGTTCACACCTCTAACAGCACCTTGCTCCAAGCTGTTAGAGGAGCTGCTCGCTGCCTGTGTTGCATTCAGAATCCCTACCTTTTGGTGTCCTCTGTTCTTCCCAGAGTCCAGTGGGAAATAAAGTTCCAGCAGAGCAGGGTCTGTAACTGCACAGGGAATTACAAACTGGAATTGCTTCCTGCTTATGCCCTGCCCTTTCTGCAAAGGCACTTGTCCTATCTAGAAGCTGTATTGTACTGGGTTGTGGTTTATAGATACACCTTTAAGACTAATGAAAGCATTCCTGATGCCCTATTGTGGAAGATGGGGAAAGCCAAACCCGCCTGAGTTTTGTCACCCTAAAGCAGCAGGTGCCTGAGGAAAGATGCATACTACTTTAATCATTAACACTGAAGGCTAATAGCTGCAAACATTTTCCATTTAATGCCAGGTCCCAGTCTTTGATAAGAAAAGTGTCCCACAGTATCTCGATTTCTTTTAACTGGGTTGTCTTCTGAGCAGTACTGGGTTTTATGCCCAGTTGGTGGGCAGAATGTGGCTCCAGGCTACTCTGGGCACCAGTACTGTCGTGCCCATGTTCCTGAGGTGCCAGAGGATCAGTGGAAAACAGTCCTATAGGATTGTTTGTTGTTTAGAGTTGGAATAGTGCTGGGGTTTTCTTCCTCCTTGTCATAGCCCTCTGTCTTATGGCTACAGGTGGTGGAGAAGGCCTACCCCACAGAGCCTGTTGGGGTGGTATGCTCTGTGGATGGGGTCTACCAAGTGGTGGAGTACAGTGAGATCAGCCTGGAGACTGCACAGCAGCAGAGTCCCAATGGGGGACTGATGTACAATGCTGGCAATATCTGTAACCACTTCTTCACGGTTGAGTTCCTGGAAACAGTGGCCCAGTAAGTTCCAGCAGATCTGCTAACACTTCTGCAGCCCAGAAGTGCCTCCAAGGGTGTTCTCATTTCCCACTGTAATTTTCACTATGGGTGCCTCCCATAGTGCTCTTCACCTCCTCTCTTCTCCAAACAGTTCAAAACAGTTATATCCCCTTTCTGACAGCCCCAGTGTGCTCTTCAGGCCTTACCCAGTGAAGAAGTGGCATGCTTTGCTGTAGCTAAATCAAGAGATATACCAGTGCATGACCTTCCTGGGCCTGCAAGGTTGAGCAGCCATGTAGGCTGCAGCATGGTCAGTGATGAAACCTCACACTGAGGATTTTCAGTGCCAATGTCACCCATAGCCTCCCCTGGGATAGCAAGAGGTTGGGGGAGAGGGTGAAGCTGGGGGAGGACTGTGCTCCTTGGTACTGGGAGATGGAGATGTGATGCTGGGCATTCAGTGAGCAGCTGTACGACCTTCCTGAAGAGCTTGATCCACCCTTGTATGTGGGATCTGCTGTGCTCTGTTGTCATTCTGGTTAGGTAACAATTTCAGCTCCATGCTAGGTCCTCCTTCTCCTCTTGCTTTACCCTGTCGTGTCCCACTGGTACAGGGGGTCCTGCTGGCTGGGCTGCTCTGCTCAGTGTTTCCTGGATGTGGCTTGGATCAGTTTGGAGAGAGGAACACCCACAGCAGCTGAAAGATGATTTGCCCCTTTATTCTGCTCTCGTGAGACCTCACTTGGAGTATTGTGTGCAGTTCTGGTGTCCTCAACATAAAAAGGACATGGATCTGTTGGAACAAGTCCAGAGGAGGGCCATGAGGATGATCAGGGGACTGGAGCACCTCCCGTATGAAGATCAGCTGAGAAAGTTGGGGCTGTTCAGCCTGGAGAAGAGAAGGCTGCGTGGAGACCTCATAGCAGCCTTCCACTATCTGAAGGGGGCCTATAGGGATGCTGGGGAAGGACTCTTTATTAGGGACTGTAGTGACAGGACAAGGGGTAATGGGTTAAAACTGAAACAGGGGAAGTTTAGATTGGATATAAGGAGGAAATTCTTTCCTGTTAGGGTGGTGAGGCACTGGAATGGGTTGCCCAGGGAGGTTGTGAATGCTCCATCCCTGGCAGTGTTCAAGACTAGGTTGGACGAGGCCTTGGGTAATATGGTTTAGAGTGAGGTGTCCCTGCCCATGGCAGGGGGTTTGGAACTTGATGATCTTAAGGTCCTTTCCAACCCTAACTATTCTATGATTCTATGATTCTATGACCCAGGGCTGTAATAAGGAATCTCCTTCCCAGAAGTGTAGTACTTTTTCCTAAGTGGGCATGAAGTAAATGAACTTGTTCCTTCTCCTTTTGCAGGAAATATGAGCCGCAGCTGAAGCATCATGTTGCCATAAAGAAAGTGCCCTACATTGACGAGGAGGGAAATCTGGTAAAACCACTAAAACCGAACGGGATAAAGCTGGAGAAGTTTGTATTTGATGTGTTCCAGTTCTCTAAGTTAGTGGCAGACATGATTTAATTTTTCTTCTCTCTCCTCAATGTTTGTTTGAATGACTAGGTTGTAATGGGCCTTGCCAGGGAGTGTATGCTTGTGGGTGGCTTAGAAAGGCTGTTGGATCTGCATCAAGCTCCAGCACCACAGTCATGCTACTGGCTCCAAGAGGGGCCATGTTCATTCCACTGGGGATGTGGAGGCTGGTCTAGCCTCTGCCAGCCCTGTTAAAGAAAGAATAAAAAGGAAATTGAGCACAAAGCCAATGTTTAGTACAAGCCCATGCTGAGACTGCAAAAATTGGGTCTTTTAGGATTCTGGCTTCCATGGCAACTGCAGCTCTGGTTATGGGTTAGGTGCTCACACCTTTAGTGCTCAGAAAGAAAACAAGTCGTTTAAGCACTGTGGGGCCGAGTTAGTTGCTGTGGAATTGTCAGTGTTGACTTGCCAAGCGCTGAGGGTGCTCTGCCCTGGTGTTGGTGCAGTCAGAGGTACTTTGTGTTTAAGCAATGTGGGATTTTAATAATTTAGGAATTTAGCATAAGTGTTCTTACAAAAACTGTTTTCAGAGGTCTGGAATTCAGCAGTAAGTATTCTGCTGTAGTTTTAAATAGCTAGAAAAAGACCTCATGCAAACTGAATTACCTTTCTTTGGGGACAGTATTTTTCTCTTCAGATGATTTACTTCAGGATAGAGAGCTCAAGGGTTGAATCAGTCTTTGTTTCCTGACATATGTTCAATAAAGTGTCACACACCAAAGCCAAAACCGGTGTGATGGAAGCAGTGGCAAGTCCTGAGCATGGAAAGGACCTACTTGTAATCAGCGATTCCTTGTGCCTTTTTCATAATACTGCAAAACTGGCTTGGTAGCTCCTGTTCACATATGAAATGCACATGGATGCTGCCACGGGATTGCTTTAATTTGCATTCCCATTTCTGGTAAATGGCTGCACTTAACATTCAGTGTGAATCCTCCCATATTGCTCATTCATCCCTGGGAACTGGTGTCCTGAGTTGATCCTTGCCTACAGATCACAAGTGGAGTGGCGATTTCTTGCAGCAGGGGTGCGGTGCTCTGAAGTGTCCAGGGCTGTGTCTGTGCATCAGGCATCGTTCCTCTCTCCATCTTCTTGTGCTCTTGTGCTCTTGTCCATGAGCCCCCCAGAGCCTGAAGAGCTGTGTGTGGGATCTCTGCAGAATGGTTGTTTTTCTTCTTACCTCTGCCTCGCTGTTGTGAGGCTGCTCTTATGTCCCCAGACACTGAGCTGCTTCTTGTGTTTTGCCATCATACAACCCCAGTGCTTCTTTGCTGTTCAGATGGGAGGTGGGCTTTTCTCAGCTTGACTGTCCCAGGCTGCATACATTGCTGCTTCCTAAAATGTGTATGAGCCTTTCCCCATGAAAGTTGTTGCATCAGCAGGGCTGATGGCTAGCTTGCTTTTTCATTACCGTTGTTTTCTCCCCTTTGCTGGTAGGAATTTTGTGGCATTCGAAGTTTTGAGAGAAGAAGAGTTCTCGCCACTAAAAAATGCAGACACAGCTGACAAAGACACTCCCACCACTGCACGGCAAGCCCTCCTGGCCCAGCATTACCTCTGGGCTCTCAAGGCTGGGGCCAGATTTCTGGATGAAAATGGTTGCAGGATACCAGAGAAACTCAGGTAGGAACCTCTGTGATCTGTATCTTCCCTGCCTGTGGCTGCTCAGCTAATGGCATGTACTGTGCTCTACAAAGGCAGGCATAAGTTTGACTCCAGGGTGACTCACGGTGATTCTTGTTCAGCTGGTCATTTCTGAACATGCAGAGTACTGTCCGTTACAGCTTCTGCTCCATTACTGATTGTGAGTGCTCCAGACAGTAATGCACAGTGCTCAGGGCTTTGTGTCTGGCAGAGATTCCTGCCTTTGGGGTCATGAGTTGGCTCCTCCTATAGCAGCTCCTTAGGCAGGGGCAGCCTTTTCCATCATTCTGGTTTAGCCAGGCCAAGGAATTGTAATCTGTAGTCCTCATCAGCAAGATTTTCAGGAGGGCTTAAGGATCAGCTATTATAGCAATTACCAATTCTGATACTTCTTTCATCATTCTAAATGGGAGCTGCTTTTACTCTGTGGGGCTATTATTTCATCAGCTCATAGTTTAATAAACCCCCAAGCTGTTTGTTTTACTTGAAAAGCACTCCAATAAAAGTGATGTTCTTGTTTTGGTGAGAAATATTTGGGACCTGTTAATTCCCTTGTACTTTCACACTTTGTGTTTGGATAATGTCTGGTGCATGTGAATGTAACAAATGTCTTCTGGATGTCCTATTCTGGGTGAGCTTTCTAAGAAGATGCACTGATTTCTAAGCATAGCAAGAAGTTAATCGTGTGTTCTCTTCTTTAGTCTCTCAGGAACTGAAAATGCTCCGGCTGTGTGTGAGATATCCCCATTAGTGTCTTACTTTGGAGAGGTGAGAATAACTGTCTATGGAGATATTTTTAAGCATGCTGGTATACATCTGATTTCATTCCAAACATGGGGGATTTCTTTAGCCTGGGCTTGCTGAGAAATGGTAAGATCAAGGGAACTAGGTTTTGGGCTTTGTATTTGTCCTGGGTTCAGCGCTTAAACTACGACAGTGTTACATTACTGGTTCCACTGTGATTTACTCTTCAGCAGTTTGTTCATGCTCAGTTTTAGCCATCTGTAAAATGAGATTCACAACAAGACTGCAAAATTTCATCCAGACTTATGAGTACTTTGAGATCTTCTGAATGAAAATCCCAGACTATCCAAATTACAAAATTCATGGGGTCACTGTATTCAGTGTGTGCTGGTCTGTGTCTGTCTCTCACAGTGAGTGAGCGCTGAGTGAGAAGTGTGATATGTGCATTTGATTTAGAGAAACCACATCTTAGATTTCTCAAGTGATCCCTCTGCAAATAACTGGGCCTGGGAAAGCTGCTTCCATTTAGTAGCAAGAGGAGCTTCCCTGTGTTGGACAGACAGGTTGAGGAATAGTGAATTGCAGGAGGATATGTGGACGCCCTGAAGAAGGGCGTTCATAAAACTAAATCTTTGCTGGGTTTCTGTGTGCAGGTAGTGGATTTGTCGCAATTGATGCATTGTAAGAACAAAATGAAAACAAGGCAATTTAAGTTGACTCTTCTTTGCTAATATTATTCTAATGTGAGTTAAGGATACATCTTCCCCTGCCTGCCCCTCCCCAGGAAGCTTGTTTTTGAGATCAACTGTTCTACAGCTTATTGGTGCCTCTCCTTTATGAAACCCAGGCATGGGGCTGAAACATTTTGCCTGTCAATGGGGAAATTGTTGCTGTTGTCTGTCCTTCCAGTGATCTTTTGACTTTGGCTAGTCAGTTTTTCTTTTAGGATATTACAGAGAACCAGTCTGATGCATTTACAACCTAACATACTGTTTTCACACGTTCTTAGGGTCTGGAAGTGTACATGAAGAACAGAGACTTCCAATCTCCCTTTGTACTTGATGAAAACAAAGCACAAATGCTAGGAAGTTCTTGAAAAGGAGGGAGGCTTTTCTCTCAAATCAGATACTGTCTGTCAGGTCCATTGTAAGAACTGACATTACTAAAATACCAGCTATGAAGTGCATTATATAAAACATTGCTTTGCAGTACTGATTGATGCCAAATCATTACAGCAATTGTGTCTGCACACACATGGGTGCTCAGCAGTTCTGTTTGGTAACTTCGAAGGCTGTGCCTTTTACCTCAGTCTGTTTTGTAGACTTGGATATAAATGAAGATTATTAATACCTTCTGGGTACCAAACACATTTTATATTTTTTATTTGCTGTGCATACAGATATGTCAAAGAGACAGGGTCTGATAAATCAGCTTTGCATTCAAGAAGACTAAATCACTTCAGTGCCTTGTTAGGGATTTTGTTTGTGCTGGTGAGGTGTCGGTGGTTTCTGATACTTTTTTTTTCTTTAATTTGCGTGCACATGTGAAGAATCAGTTTGAGGCCCTATACTGAAAAGTATGGAATGACTTTGTGTACCGGGGCCTTTCCTTCCAAAGATCCATCTTTACTCTAATGCTGTGCTGGTTAGAAGATCCAGTACAGCAATTGCATCCTCTAACCAGATCGCGCAGAGTCTGCAGTGGGTAGGGATGCTGCTGTGCTAAGTGTTGCTTGAGCTTTGGACTCCAAAGCAGATCAGAGTAGTATGCATATCTAGATTTGCTGGTGTCATTCCAAGAAAACTTATGGAAATATGAAGCTTTGACTGATTGCTTTTTACAGCTGTAGGTTTTCTTTATTGAAAAGAAAAAAAATTATTCTTTTTTCCTCAGCAGTCCTCTGCTCTTCCTGTCTATAACAAACAGTTATTTTACTTTCCATTTTTCTGTTTAATGTGTTCCATATCCCTCAAAGGGACTCTTTTAAAGTACCTGAAAGTAATAAGAGGCACAAATCCTGATGGTAGAATTTAATGCTCAACCAAAACAAACAAATGAAAAAGACTCAATCTCTGTATGACCACTGCACACAGTAAAACACCAGCTTTTCCTTCTACAGTTTCTGGACAGCCTTTAGATGCCTTCCTTTTAAATACATTACTAACCGTAATGCAGAGATAAGTGTCATCTAATTAAGGACACTAATAGTCAGAACACATGTAGCATGTGAACTCGGCCCTGGCCAAGGGATCCCAGGGTGCCTCTGAGCCACAAATGATTGCTCCTGCTCAGCCTTTGGCACTGCCTTGGCAAGCTTGTGCCAGGCAAGCACAGAACACACCAAAGTGGTTTCACCCTCATGAGGATGCTTCAGGTGTACTGCTGGGTGGCCTTTGCTTGAAGAGCACTTTATACTTCTTCCCTAAATCAGGTTTAAAGGAAGGTGGGGAGGAAGATGCCTCATTTGAATGTTGTTATTTCATGCATCTGCTTCTATTGAGGAATTGCTGATGCTGTTTTATTAAGCATAAATCTTTTTAATAACTTACATGGCTTTGAAAAAACTTACATGTGATTCCTGATGTGAAGCTGTATTCAGAATGTTGGAGAAGTATAAAAATGGCTTTGAGAGTTAATAGTTTGTAACTAGGCTCATGTTGTCCCAAGAAAGCATCTAAATGTCAATGGCCGTTTTCAGGTCTAAGGTGTATATGCACTGAAGTAATGAGCCTTTTGCATGTGCAGACCAGCTCATGACAGTTTTGATTACCTGTGTTTGTCGTGCATCCGTAATTCCCATTTTTAGTATAAATTAAGCATTTGCCTGTGATGCTCAATTCTGTATTTTTCTTCACAGTGTTTCTATGGATCATTCCATTCCTGTCAGTCAAGTTTTATATTTGTGCCCTGGTTTTGGCTGGGATAGAGTTAATTTTCTTCCTAGTAGACTCTATGCCAGCCGAATTCAGGACAATCTGCCAACAAATTGTGTTGCATCTTTGTGAGTATTGCTTGTTGATTCAGGCACATGCTCCTTTTAAGGTGCACTGTGTTATGAAGAAAGCATATTTCTATTGCTCTTTATAAAGTGCTTTCTTTTGAGACTCAGTTCCTGTGGGCTTTAATCATGTGTACACTGACTGAGCTGTTGATTGCTTTTAGAGCTTGTTTTTGAGGGGAAGCCGAATTAGAATACTGAATGCCTTGTCTGTTAGGGTGTTTTTCTGTAACTCCTCACATTTTAAACTGGAACATAGAAAAAATTTTGAGAGAACATAAAAAATAGTATCTGTTCTGTATGTAGCAAAGTAATTCTAGTACGCACTGTGAAATGAAAAAAGTACCTGAAACAAAGGGAGGTCCCTTAGTACTCCAGAAACTTTTGGACACCTAAGCATTTTTATAATAAAGTTGTTACTGTGATTTCTATGTGTCTGTCTGTGTTTCTTGTCCATGAGGAAAATACACTGGTTGTCTTTGTCCCTATACGTCATGGGTGTTGTCAACACGGCTGCAGGACACTGCGTATCACTGATGGCCTGGCTGGAGTGCCCTGCTGCAGAGGTACAGGGGGATGTGGAACTCAGCAGAGGGTAACTCCTGATGGGGTTTGACATTGTGGATGTATTATTTTCATCAGGAAAGAGAAGATTCTTCTTGCCTGCATTCCTGTTTGTTTAGTGGGGGGGGGTTTCAAGCTTTTAAACACAGAATACTGAGGGGAGGGAGTTTCATTGTGGGTGGTTTGTACTTTTCCTTTCTTTAAAGTAGAATTGAGCAATCTGAATCTGAGTCAGGCTTTCACAGCTGCTCTGTAGGTTATAAGCACTCATTGTAACACAGCTTTTGCTTGGCTTCCCAGTGACAGCACTTTTAAAACTGGGCTTTATTTATAGAACAATCTTTGGTGGAAGTTGGCATTTTTTCACAAATGACAGATCATCCTCTTTTAGGGGCTTAGTGCTGAACCCAGCAAAGGTCAGAAGTAGATAATTCTGTCTTCCTTACCTATTTTGTTCCATGTTTATCTCTTGGCACACCCGTGAAGGCTGCTGGGTTTTTAATATGTTTTTAAGCTACATGAACCAGTAGTTTCTTGTGATAGGAAAACAAATACTAAAAATAAATGCATGCTTCAGGCTTTTGTTAAATTGTTCCTCTACTTGTCTGTGCAGAGTGTTCGCATCTGTCAGAATTGTTTGAGTTTTTTTGGATCATGAATTGCTCAGAAAAAAACCCACAAATTTTCATTTTTCCTGGAAATCTGTTGTGGAGGTAGATTCCAAATTTAAAGGCTGAAATGATGCATGTTAACTAAATAGTTAGACACAGCTGAAGGTGAATGCAGTGACAGCACTTAAAGCCACTGCTTCAGTTCTTTACTTTTCCTGTTGGACTACAAACCCAATCTAGAAGTAATCATTATTACAAACCCAGTCATGTTGTGGCTCTCAATGTGTACATCACTAAAGTGTGCTCCTCCCTGTTCCTCTGCACCCACTCATAACATCCCTCCTCCTCTCTGATGAAGATGCAGAGAACTATTTGCACAGGGGTTGACAGCTGAGGGTCTCTGGGGAAGCAGATGAGGGAAGGAGTTGCGTGGACAAGGGGACCTTACTGAGCACCAAAATTCAGTGCAGGATCTTATGGAAGGGTTGTTCACACAACTGCTTACATTGATTTTCAGATGCTGACATGCATCCTTTCACAGATTTCAGCTGTCTGCTCTCAGGCCTGTGTTGTCTGCCCAGGACTCTGTGTGTGATGCAGGGGATGAGGGATGCCAGCTGTAAAGCATGTCTCTGGGGTTCTCACTGGTGAGTGATAATGACATTAGACAGCTCTTCTCTGTCTTTTCAGAATCAATAGTTGTTTGGGGTTTTCCTTTGCTGTGCAGGAGGAGCTATGGAATGGAGCTGATCCTCTTATCAGGGTGCAGTGTCCGGTGCTGTGGCCTTACTGGAGCAAGGTCCCCCAAGGTGGGTGGGTGCTACCCCTTCCTGAGCATGACCAGTTAAGATGCTACTGGAGAGGGTCCAGCAGAGACCAATAAGGATGATTGAGGTTCTCATCAGGATCTTCTCATCTCTCCAATGATAAGAGATTGTGGGAGCTGGGACTGTTTATCCTAGAGAAGAGCAGGCTGAGGGGATCCCATCAGTGCAGCTCAGTATCTCAAAGGAGGGTGCCAGCAGGATGGTGCCAGACTCTTTCCAGTGGTGCCCAGTGACAGGATGAGGAGCAATGGCCAATAAACTAAAACATGAGAAGTGTCACCTCACCATGAGGAAGAACTTTCCTTTGAGGGTGGCAGAGCCCTGGCACAGGCTGCCCAAGGGGGGTTGTGGAGTCTCCCTCTCTGGAGCCATCCCAAACCCACCATGGACACGTTCCTGTGTGACCTGCTCTGGGTGGCCCTGCCTTGGCAAGGGGTTGCACTGGGTGATCTCCAGAGGTCCCTTCAACCCTAATGGTTCTGGGATTCTGTGGCTAATGGGAGTGTAGAGGCCCTTCTCCGGTCAAGTTGTTTTCTCTGAAGACCTTCCACATGCACATTTCCATTTATGTTTCTTTCATGCCAGTATTACTGTGACTGGTCTCTACATTATAGTCTCACAACACGGAGGAAAAGCGAGGGGCTCCCAGCCTCTCCTTACATCCCATTTCCTGCGCAGGCAGCTCAAGTCCCGCTGGGCAGGGCCCTCCCAGTGAGACGGGTGAAGTGAGGGACAGCGAGCGGAAAGAGCAAGAGCCGTTCCCCCCCCAAACAGCACCTGCCCTCGGCCCGAAAGCGGGGCCCGTGCCAGGGTATCCGGTGGCTCCGCAGGAACTGGCACCAGCCCAACTCCCGCGTCCCTTTCCCCGCGGCTGCCGCTGCCATAGAATCCCGGAAGTGCTCCCGGCCTAGAGCGGCGCCCGGAAGCGGCCGGGAGGAGGCGCGGTGATGGCGGCTGGCGCGAGGGGCGGTGGGCGGGCAGGCTGCGGGCCCTGAGGCGCCGCCATGTATTCGGCTGCTGCCGCCGCCGCCTCTCCGCCTCGCCGGGACTTCATTTCCGTCACCCTCAGCCCGGAGCAGGCGGCGGTGGAGACTGGCGGCTACAACAACAGCAAGGCCTGGAGGCGGCGCTCCTGCTGGCGGGTGAGGGCGGGACCCGCGCCCTGAGAGGGGCCCGGCCTGGCGCGGGTGGAGGGCGGCAGGGTGGTGGTGGGTACCCCCGGCTGGGTGCAGGGGGGAGCAATGGGGAAGTTGGGCTGGGGACGGGGGGGTGCTGAGGGAGCGGAAGGTCGAGAGTGTCCCTGCCGCTGGGCTGTGTGTGGAGGGTCCTGGCTTGGCCCCGCCCTCCCCGTTCCGAGTCGGGTATGGGGCCAGAGCTGTGGGCGCTTGACGATGGGGATGCCCTGGTCTTTGGGGAGGGCGGCCCGTGGCGAGGGCCCTGCTCTCGGTAGTGCTGGGTGGCAGCTCCGTGCCTGGCTGGGGTTTGTGGGGCACAGGTTGAGTGAGGGTGCTCGAAGTCACAGCTTCAGTTTTTGCAAGAGAGCTGGCAGGACAACACGGTGTGTGTTTGAGGGGAATCCTGCCGTCTGCTAGGGGGCATTTGAGAGGCAACACTGTACTCTCCGGGCACGGGCAGAGTGGGGAGATGTGGTCTCGGTGCCTTTGCTCCCCGTTTTAGGGCTTGAAGCCCTGTCCTCTTCCCTGGGAGAATAAAGGAGATGGTTCTGCTTTCTGTGGGAAGACTTGAGTGTGAGGAGATAGCAAAGCTCCAGCAAAGCTGTATGGAAGTGACCTTCTTGCCACTTGGGGGTGAGAGTTGGGCAGGCAGCTTTACCACAGTGGGAGTCCTGGGCTGGAGAGGCAGGGTGGGAAAATGTGAGTCAAAAGGACAAGATAACCCTTCCTTTTATCCTTATTCCATGTTGGCAAAAAAGGTGAGATGGTGGTAAATACTCTCATGTATTTTTGCCTCATTCCTACCCACCCCAAGACACCATAGTCAATGCCTCTTTTCATATCCTGCCTTGAAGAAATAGGGCTGCTGGGTTTCAAGCATCCTTCTGCAACTGGGAGATGATGCTATGGTTTGCCATGCAGGTAGAGATGAAGGTGCAGGAGTGGGATCAGCATCTTGCTGATGGGTGCATAGGGCACTGTTTACAGGGTTACTGTACTGCTGGCACTGTGGGAGGACATCAGGAAATGTGAGCTGTGGGGCTTGGCAATGTGAGTACATGGACAGTTCTTCACTGAGGACTATGGGAAGTGCTATGGGGTGTAGAGTGATTCGTAGGGAACTGCAGGTTGTTCCCAAGTGTAGTGTTGGACTGAATCACACTCTGTTTATGCCAGAACCAGTAATTACAGGTGAAATGCTTCTCTGGGGAATATTGATAAGACTGTTAGAAAACTAACAAAATGGTAATTTAGCAGTTAAACATTAATTCCGATTGCTCTCTTTCTCTAAATGGAGGAAACTTTTCTATTAGGCTAATGTAGCATTTGCTGTCTGACTTTTAGTGATTTTATTGTATATACTTCAGTTTGAAAACACATTTTTGCCCAGGACTAAACTTGAAAACATTGTGGTTTTGTCTTGTCAGTTTTTCTGTTGGCTTATTTCATTTTCATGTTGTGACTTTGACAGTTCCGTTTGTGTCTGTCAGAGGCAGGAGGCCTGACTCTTCTTGTCCTGCGACTGGTACATGCCTGTTGCGAGTCTTTCTTTGCTGCAGTAACGTTTTTAGGTTCTGTACCACTTTCTCCTGTTTCTTATTTTGCATGTGTGTTCTGCAGCCAGAGGGAGGAAAGAGGCTTTTGGCTTGTTTCCCGTGACACCTGGGCAGATGCACAGGTCAGGCAGCGGAGGTTGCAGTGGAACTCAGCACACTGGGTGATGCTCTCTGGGAGCCTCAACGTTTGGCAGTCTCTGAAGTTCTTGCAGCAAGTGGCTCTGATGTTTCTCTGAGCCTGCTGTGCTGTATGCTAGCATGTTATATTTTTGTTTTCTCTTATCATCGAAGAAAATAAGCAGTGGATGTCTGCAGTTGGAAGTAGAGGGTAAAATTAAACCTACTCAGTTTTGTGTTTATTTTTGACTAAGTAGGATTTTTATGCCATATTAAGTATTCTTCCTCTTACTTATTTTCCCTCCTAAAGAAATGGAAGCAGCTGTCTCGACTGCAGCGGAGCGTAATCCTCTTCCTGTTTGCCTTCTTGGCAGTCTGTGGTGTCATTTCATACACAAGCATGGGGGAACCATGGAAAAGTAGGTGTCCTGTATAGCTTGGAATTACGGAATGCCATGCTCTATTTAAAAGACTGTTGTAGTTCTTATCACTAGTTTTTTATTTTTATTGACAATGACTGCCTGTATCAATTAAAGTGCAGGACTTTATGTTTGGATGACTGGTTTCTACTTAAT